AAATGTAATAAAGCCGAGGATACCTAAAGCTTATGGGAACAAAAAATATTTTATCATAAATTTGTCTATTAATTGTAGAAATATACCTAGTTAGTATATACAGAGTGTCCGGAAAGTCGAGCACCTCTGTGACACAATTACTCTCTTTCAAGGAGRTGCGCGRCTTTCTGGACATYCTGTATTTATGTCAGTTTTAATTGTGCACACTGGCAAAATTATTTAATGTTTTCTTAATTAGGTACTCCGTCATAAAATCAGTGCCTTAATTTCCACCCGGCCAACCATCAAAATTAAAAATTCAAATCAAAATCGCCCAAACYTYGCCTCATATTAATAATTACCTSAACAATGTGGATAAAATATCGCGTTTCTTGCAAAGCGTGCACCAGTTTCCATTCATAAATCTCGCCGCTCTTGCATCCAGAAAGGGACCGCGTCTGAAAATCGTGATTTACGTGCATAAACCGATTGTATAATCAGAGCAAATGCAGTAACAATGGTCTGTATCGCAATCTAAAATCTGCTCTTTCCGCTTTACTCTTATCTCCCGTTTCTTGTCAAGCTTTCGGATAGTGGAAACTATTTTCAAGGAAGTTTTCGGTTCCATGCATATTCATCGACATTTGATCTTAATTAAGTGGATTTATGTACACGGGCATTGTATACAAGACTCAAATCTTCCACGATTAGATAGACGCATGTGGATTAATATTTATGATTGAAGAAAAAAGTTAATTTATTGTGAAGAAGTCGTAAAACTGCGCCAGAAACCGTAAAAGCGCCCACGGGAAAAATATGCATTTTTAACTGAATAATTTAAGGCTTAGTTAGCATGAATTAAGCAATCTTAGAACCTCAATACCTATAACTGTTGTAATTATTCATCAGAATTATATTATTAAATGTTGTCAAAAATACAAAAAATTACACAAGGCGACAAAAAAAAAGTCATGTCATGTCATGTTCGAAGAAGTTCGAAGTAAATCGAAATAATCTAAGAAAAACCCTATGAGTAATTTTTTTTTCATCATTACCATCGTGTAGAGCRTCTCTTTATTAGTTGTGATCCAAATTTTCAAAAGAATATACCGAGTAGTTTTCAAGATATGATTTTTTTAAGTTAAGGTTTGCTAATCAAGCATTGCTCCATATAGGAGAAATGCATGTTAATCTTAATTAAATTGCATTTTTATAAAAGTATTTGTTTTAAGACTCTTCTTTTGTTTAAAAATGGTCAATTGCACCTTCTTTGTTCTAATTAGAATAAACAAAAACTGTTTGTTTACTTAAAACAAATAAAGAGTACCTGCGTATTAATTAAAGCGTTTTAATTAAAGAGTTTTTTTTGTTGTAAAAATGACCACTGATCATTGAGCAAAGAGGATCTAGAAGTTTAAGGCACGAGCCTTAAATATAAGAACAAATCTTTTTCAAATCAAATCACTGTCCATTCAGATTTTGACTTGTTCACTTTGTTTTATCTTTCTGAATTTTTTTTTTTTGAAAATGTTCTAAGCAAATGCTTTCTCATCACTTTCGAGTGACGTTAAATACAATAAATCACCTGATTTATTTTGTTGGTATATTCTACGATCAGCTTCAGTTAGCTTGTAGGTAGTAGTTGTTGTGATAACAGTTGCACACGAAGCAACTGACTTATTGCATTCAACGTCACTCGAAAGTGTTGCATTCGCTGAGAATATTTTAAAAAAAAAATTAAGAAAGCTAGAACAAAGTTGGAATCTGAATGGAAAATGATTTGATTTGAAAAAGATTTGCTCTTATATTTAAGGCTACTGTTTTAAACTTCTAGATACTTTTTGCTCAATGATCAGTGGTCATTTTTAGAACAAAAAAACTCTTTATTTGCTTTAATTAGTACGCAAGT